GGGGGAAAGGGAAAAGAAGAAGAAAAGGAGGGGGATCCACAAGCTTCTTGATTGATCTGTCAAGGTGATTTGTGAGCTGCTGGCCCAAGGTGAGGTTGCCCATATATGGGTACCATGATTTTTAGCAAGATCTGGCAGAATGTGCATGCAATGGAAGGGAATTACCATGGGAGGGAGGGTCACAAACCACAGCTCATGCTCCCTATGAAGATTTGCTTGCTGATATCTGAGTTTTAAAATCATAGCCCTTTATTCTTTGAATTGCCCTTTCCAATGAGGAAAGGAGCAGATATATAGAATCATAGAACTGGAAGGGTCCCCCTAGTCCAACCCCTGCTATGCAGGAATACGTATGCAGAAAACATGCAGGGTTTTCTTGGCAAATTTATTTAGGGGGTTTGGTGTTGCCATCCTCTGAGGCTGAGAGAATGTGACTTGCCCAAGAGCAACCAGTGGGTTTCCATCACCGATCAGGTATTTGAACCCTTATGAAACCTTATGGTTCTTTTCCTGGGCTCAGGCATTGTTGTTGTTGTTGTTGTGTACCTTCAAGTCATTTCCAACTTATGGCGACCCTAAGGCAATGCTATCATGAGGTTTTCTTGGCAATTTCTTCAGAGGAGGTTTTCCATTGCCATCCTCTGAGGCTGAGAGAATGTGACTGGCTTAAGATCAACCAGTAGGTTTCCATCACCGATCAGGGATTTGAGCCCTGGTCCAGAGTCATCATCCAATGTTCAGACCACTATATCATGCTGGCTCATCACAGATAGGTAAATCTAACTGATTCAATGAATGTATCTTACTTGAGAATAACAATAAGACTCAAGACAGTCTTTACAGCAGTAGTGGGTAACCATGCCCTAAAAGGAGCGGCTTAGAGAGCTGGGTATGTTTCGCCTGGAGAAAAGAAGGACAACAGGTGACACGATAACCATGTTTAAACATTTGAAAGGATGTCATATCAAGGATGGAGCAAGCTTTTTTCTGCTACTCCAGAGACTAGATCACAGCGCAATGGATGCAAACTACAGGAAAAGAGATTCCACCTTAACATTAGGAAGAACCTCCTGGCAGTAAGAGCTGTTCGACAGTGGAAGATACTGCCTTGGAGAGTAGTAGAGTCTCCTTCTTTGGAGGTTATTAAATAGAAGCTGGATGGCCATCTGTGGGAGTGCCTGGATTGTGTATTCCTGCATTGCAGTGGGCTGGACTGGATGACCTTTGAGGTCTCTTCCAACTCTATGATTCTATGCACCTCAGTCCTAAGAGAGACTCACCTGTTGAAGAGAAGGATGTTTCTCCTGCAAACTGTTCCCATGCTGATAATGACAGGATATTTCAAAGGCTTGGACCAAAGTGTCCTAAAGATGGAATCAAACAAGGATTGCGCATGAGATCCCTTGATTCTCAACCCTAATGATTTTGACCTCTGTGGTCAGTTGTTTAATGCAACACCGCTGACCCCATGACCTGAAAAGGCTTTAAATTGTGTTGCAGTAAAAAAGAAGGGAGAGGAACTGATCCTTTGCATCGGAGGCTGGTAGTAGGATACGGCCATTCACTAATTTGGGAGGAACCTGGGAACACATAGAATCATTCCATTAACTTTAATTTCCTGCCTTTACAAGACACAAGTTCCTTCAGAGACCTCATAAAAACATCCATCAATCTCTGACCTTGCAGCCTTGGAACCAGAGGGGGGGATATGTCCGCACATGGTCACACCAAAGCAGGTGGCAAGGGTGGTCTTTGGGGTGGTGAGAATACCTCAGTGGGCAGCAAAAATGCCCCTTACCTCCCATAGTTCTCATGATCCAAGCCTCAGATCTCAGATTTAAATTAATAAGAAAATGATTCTAATTATAAGA